GTAAGTCGCGTCTTATTTTGTCCCGTATAAATGGCCCTATTGTTCTGCAGACACAAAATTCGTCAATGATTGGAGCGGACATTTTCGCCAACTGAGCTCGCCCCCGAGCAATCGAGTAGTCTCGCCTTACTTCTCTTTCATCGACTCTCATCGACTTTGAGCTAGCTGGTTCAAATTTTGATATGTTGACAACATAGTGTAAACTCTCGCTTCTCAACTCTTCAACTCGCGGCTAGCCCTGGGTACGATGTTGCGCTTAAATATTATTTATGGCGAGCTGTTCATGACCTTCCCAGAAACTTGATTCTCGAGTGCACGAGATATAATATAAGTGGCAATTAATCACGACAATAGGCATTGCCATTGACGATTTATGATCTGCGCACTCCAATATATTCCCCGAGGCAAACTAAAGAAATTTGTTACAGTTGATAAACTGTGTTTTTTTCTCGTTGTGTTATATTGACTTTGTGGCATTTTGATAATTGCAGAAATCGAGGACTGGTCATGGACATGATTTACACTAGCAAAGTTTCTGTGATCACAGTGGGAATTTTGCATCGGTAAATTCTAAATTTTGAAGGATTTGATTAAACACCGAGTAATTAGTTGCCTCGAACACTTCAAAAATTATAGAATTTACCTATATATGCAAAATTCCAACTGCAAACCAGCCCTAAGGCTAAGAGCAACATTGTTCGTCGCTTATCATACTCGAGAATTGTTTTACAATAAAAATCACGTTTTCTTGGAATATTTAAGAAGCTATAAAACGCATTAGATGAATAATACCTTTCACGTTACACAGGCACTAATATGGTAAAACTAATTTAAATTTAAACAGCTAAATATAACCACTCAATTGGTAAAGAATTTGAAAGATATACACATCTCTTCTCAACGTAAAAATTCTGCCTTCAAAGTTCAAAATTAGTGGCTCATTGAATTCAAATGGATGTTCTATCCATGGCCTAGTTTTTTCAGACCAAGATTGGGTTCAGGACAATCTATCAACATTTTTATTATGTTGTTTATTTTGCAGCTTGATGTAGCCTATGATTGTTAGAACGAGATTATACCACAGTGAGCGATATTGTCCGTTAGAAAAAATTGGATTTAGCTGGGAAAAATGGTTAAAAACTGTTTACGATCTTTAGGCAAATATCTTCTAGGATTTTTACATTACAGCATTTGATTAACTCAAAAGTATTACAACTGTATCTGCATGTTTTGCCCTATGTTTGAATGTTTACCATTAAGTTTCCACTATAATATGATCTACGATTATAAAGCTATTTCTCAGGCTCTCAGCTGTCTTCGACCACGTGATCAAATAGATAATATTATTAAAGTGGTGAAAGTAGATTGTTTGTAAAGAATCTACACTAAAAGCTCGTCGCCTTGGTGCTTTTTGCCTAAACGGAAATAAAGCCATATTTGCGACTGTATTTCCAGCATGGCTAATTAGTTGACTAAAATAAACGACTCCACTCCGCGCTCAAAGATTGTTACCTAGCTACTGGGCAATATAGTTGCAACCTTGCGTGCTATTCGAGTGTTTATAGTCGACTAAAAGAACCATTTGAAAACAGGAAATATCTCCTTCAACATGTAATTATTGCATTCGAAACAGCAACATATCCATTTTATATCCTTGAAAGATCATCAAGATCGAACTAAAACATATACCAAGAAGCAGACCTAGAAAATAGATTTTTCTTCCTGATAGATAGATAGATAGGTAGATAGATAGATAGATAGAACAGGTTTAATCAAATCGTAAATTACAGTTGGTATAACTGAATTGCTTACGAGTATTTACAATACTATACTATAGGCTATAATTGACACGAAATAAAGTTAAGAATTTATACACTTATACTATTAGATATAATGAAGGAGTTCTTAAAACGTTCTGTTCGAAACTTAGGGACTAGAAATTTATGACATTTCCTTAAGGGATATGTACACCCGTTTTCCTCTGGGATCATTTGATGTAGTTTATGCAAAAATAGAAATTTTCAGCCAAACAGATTTGAGAGAGTATCATGTAGCACATCATGATAAACATTAATCTCGGCAAAAGACAATCTCGACTTGAAATTGCTTTTGTAAACAATAAGTATAAATTTTATCACATATTCATCTTATGCGCTTGTAAAGCACTTACAACATGCATTGCTGTCCCCTTACACTGTACAGGTCGGTTATACCCCTTGTTAAGTATATTAAGAGCAGCTGTCTGATAATTAGATACCTCTGTGCAACAAAATGGAGTCTATAAGTTAAATTGGAGTGGCATTTCTTTAATTGGACAGCTCTATCAAATCTTGGTTGTCTCCCCAAATGTTCTTACTGGAACAGTTCTGAACTGTTCTAATTCCTATATAGAGGATCATCTCTTGTTAATCCAGTGTTGTTACAGGAGGAAACCTGAACTAAACTAACTTTATTTATACTCATGCATGGATAGTTCTATCTGTAGTTCTAAACCGTTCTTCCTAGAGGTCCAGTAAGGATCATCTCTTGTTAATCCAGTGTTGTTACAGGTGGAAACCTAAACTAGACTAACTTTATTTATACTGGAAAGCTCTATCAGTTCTAAACTGTTCTCCCTAGGGGTCCAGTATAAGGATCATCTCTTATTAATCCAGTATTATTACAAGAGGAAACCTAAACCAAACTAACTTTACTTATACTGGATAGTTCTATCAGGTCTAAACTGTTCTCCCTATAGAAGTACAGTAAAGATCATCTCTTATTGATCCAGTGTTACTAAACTGTTCTCCCTAGAGGTCCAGTAAAGATCATCTCTTATTGATCCAGTGTTACTAAACTGTTCTCCCTAGAGGTCCAGTAAAGATCATCTCTTATTGATCCAGTGTTACTACAAGAGGAAACCTATAAACTAAACTAACTTTATTTATACTGGATAGCTCTATCAGGTCTAAACTGTTCTCCCTATAGAGGTGCAGTAAAGATCATCTCTTATTGATCCAGTGTTACTACAAGAGGAAACCTAAACTAAACCAACTTTATTTATACTGGATAGCTCTATCAGTTCTAAACTGTTCTCCCTAGGGGTCCAGTAAGGATCATCTCTTATTGATCCAATGTTAATACAGGAGGAAACCTAAACTAAACTAACTTTATTTATATACTGGATAGCTCTATCAGTTCTAAACTGTTCTCCCTATAGAGGTCCAGGAAGGATCATCTCTTATTGATGCAGCGTTACTACAGGAGGAAACCTAAACTAAACTAACTTTATTTATACTGGACAGCTCTATCAGTTATAAACTGTTCTGCCTAGAGGTCTATAGTAACGATCATCTCTTATTGATCCAGTGTTACTACAGGAGGAAACCTTGGCTAAACTAACTGCAGTCAATTCTAAACCTATTCCTATATAGAGGTTCAGTAAGGATCATCTCTTATTGATCCAGTGTTACTACAGGAGGAAACCTGAACTAAACTAACTTTATACTGGATGATAGCTCCATCAGTTCTAAATTGTTCTCCATGAGTACAAAATTTCGTTTGATAACTTCCGGATAAAGGGTCCTAATTCCCTCGAAACGTTGAATTAAGTTCTCCTTGTATTTTTTGTTCTTGCATTGCATGCCCCCAAATCAACCGTTTTGTTAGATTAAGATGGCCTACGGTAACTACAGAGCTTTGTTCCCATGTGAGCGTAGGGTTTAATTTTTTTAATTCTTGCAATGCCATTTTTTAAATTCACTTCTGAAACAAGTGCGGACTACTTGACCATGCATGTGCTTTGATTCAAAGAGGATTTTTATGCAAAATTCTATCGAGTGCTCTATCTATAACTTAGTAACACATTTATGTTGTTTTTAAGACCTATTAACTTGCATTGCGCCTCACTTTATTAGGCCTACTTACTCTAACGCCAGACGATTCTATATATATTCGTCAAGGGAGAGCACTGGCGTTCATTGCATATGGGTTAAAATATTAAGTGAAAATTGTCAGGGCACTAATTTGCACGGTAAATAAAATTGTGATTTGTAAATTCAGAAAGATACAATAAATCACATTAGGCTATATGAACACTATATTATAAGTTTCTATTCGTCAAATTTAAATTTTCTAATCGTTCATGTAATCTTAAATATTTGTAAGACTAATGCGATTGTACTTATATTATAAGTTTTTTCTGTGTTGGTGTAATGTACTCAGGTGAATATGATGCTTGTGATGTTACTCTGAGTGTATATCCACACCGGGCAAGCTTGAAAAATATGCCTGGCCACGGTGGGAATCGAACCTACGACCTTTGGATTCCCACCGTGGCAAGGCATATTTTTCAAGCTTGCCCGCGGTGTGGATATACACTCAGAGTGACATCACAAGCATTATATTATAAGTTTTATATTACTCTGAAGGTGCTGCATTTCTTAAAAGACGGTTAAATTTCTTAAAAACTAAATAGTTTCACATGGCTGCTTTTAGAATAGCTGTCTGAACTTTAAACGGATGCAACGACTATGTAAATAGGGTATTACATTATGAGAAACTACAGCTTGGCTAACTTTCTTTGGTGTTTGTTAGTTAACTTTGGGTGGGTGGATTGATGAAGTAAATGCAATATTCTCATGAGCCTTTGTGCGTCAGATATATAGTCTTTTATGTCAGTAATTCTTTCTATGCAAGACACATTTTTCATAAAAAAACTACATTGTTACACCAAGATAAAAACGGAAAAAATAAACTACCACTGCAAAACTCTTTACATCGCTCATCCTACTCGAAACTGAACACCTAAAACACTTGAAATATAGTGGCTTTGTAGTTATGGGCGTCTTTAAATGAATTTTCAAGTTCTGTACGTAAGTTACTGACTGGTTCAAAGTTTTCTTTGCGACCAGCATGTGAAATTAAGAATAGCGCATCCCCTCGACATATTGGCTTACAGTATTGACTAATACGCTGAGGAATATTGCAAACCATGGCAACGCCGTGACGTGCTCTGCATAATGAAGTCTGAGACAGAGTATAAAAGGGCGCGCGTTTCATCAGTTCGTCACTTGGCCTTGCAGCTTCAAGAAAGAAACAGTTTGAAGACAAGAACGATGAAGACTTTTGCGCTGTTGTGTTTCCTCTTATTGGCTTCGGCCTGCGTGTTTGGTACGTATACGAATTACTAACTTGTGAGGACAGTGATTTGGAATCACTCATCGGGACATGAGATTGTTAAAGGCAAAGCACGATTGGTCCTAACCCTGGGTTAAAATGTATTTCTACACGTCTGTTTATTTCAGAATAGTAGAAAATTAAACATCTGATAATCCAGACAAGATTTCTGAAAAAAATATTAGTCCAAGTTTTTAAACACAGCTGCTCGGAAGCTTGCATGGAATTTTACGTTAACCGAGGGTTAAGTTAACCAGCCTTTGAACAACTGGCCCCATTTTAGCATTAAACATTTTTCGACGCTTCGAACGAACGACGTGCCACGTTCAGACACGAATTTGGTATTTTTCTCAAGGCACAACAATGATATTTTATCGCCAAGCTAAAAGAACTTTTTCATTCTTTCTAACCAATAGTAGCTCGCGCGGAAGAAGAGACCGCTGTCGAGGAACCCAAGACAGAGGACCAGCCAGAGGTCGCTGCTGACGAAGAACAACCCGAAGAGGAGGCAACGGAGAGCGACGAAGAGGAGAAGGAAGCTGACGAAGAAAGCGAAGACGAAGAAAATGACGGTATATAGTCAAGTATTTTTGACATTGCGCATTTTTGCGGCCTGAGATGTGTTTAGAAAATAAATCTTTTGTCGGACAAAGAACTCATCAGAATAGACAATAATTAACATGATATTTTACAGAAGGATACTTCCAATCGACAACCGTTTTTGTTACTTGCGAATAGGGCAAGTTAGACATGAAAATTAGTTGCCCGGAATAAAATTCACTTTAATCCATCAGGTCTAGTGTTGTCCTCGCATATTGAAAAAATTTGAAGCAAACGATTGTCGTAAGGATTGATTAATCGAGATTCTATATGTTATGTTTTCCTTAACAAAGTCATTTGAAGACTTGATCACGAGGTGTTGATTTCAGCTCATTTACTAAAATAAAGAATCGAAAATAGAATGCATGAACAAGCAAACAATTTTGTGTAGCAAAACCTATAGTTTACAACTTATAGCTTAGAAAACCTATAGTTTACAACTTTACCCAGCTCAAGTAAGGTGGGCATAGTTCAGATTTACCCTGCAGAGAGAACAGTATTACGCACGTAGTTTAGTTTAGTTTTCCTCTGGATCAAGAAGAGTTTAAAAATGATAGCCGCCAGTACAAATAAAATTATGTTTTGTTTCCTTAAGAAATATATAATAAAAGAAATCTTCCTTTCTTTAGAAGAAAACACCGACGTAGCTGAGGACGAGGAGAAAGAAAGCGACAGTCAGTATATTTCAATAGTTATATATTTCAATAGTTTCAATGTAATTTATTGCCGATTTTTTAAAACATTTATTGAAAAAGATTATGTTGTATATATAAGGCCTTGCCATATGCCGAACCTTTTGATACAATCAAGTAACTCGGATCCAAATTGTCGAGTATAAAAACGTTAGGCTTATGAATATTTTAGAATATCTGGTATCCATATTTCGCTTAATAACATATTTACTACTTTGTGACGTAATCGTTGGGAAAATGTTATATTTTCGTGTGTAAAGCCCTGGGCAAACTAGAAAACATTGTTGTGGAAACATTTGTGCCTCTCGATGTTTCCACAAATGTTTCCATGTTTGCCCACCCGTGGAAATATTGTTGCGGAAACAAAATTTGCTTCCCGAGAAGCAAAAATGTTTCCTAGCAAATTCAGAAACATTTGATGTTTCCTATGTTTCTCACTAATGTTTCCTATAGTGTTTGGCCACTCTGGGAAACATGGCGATACATTGGCAGGAAACAATGTTTCCGCAACAATGTTCCCTAGTTTGCCCAGGGCTTAACATAACTCATGTTGTATTCGTTACAACCAGACCATGCATGTTCCTCACAAATGTGGCTTGTATCTTCAGGTTACTATCCGGTTCATAAATGCTCGATACACTTGAAGTGTAGACCTGTCTGCCGAAAGAAGGTGTGTAGTCGACGTCGATGTAAGAGGGTGAAATGTGGTTCCAGAAAAATATGCCGTAAAATCATCAAAATCAGAGTCGTCAAAGTACAATACAAAATCGACAGCTATGATGGCTACGGATATGGACCCAAATACGGATACAAGATCAAGAAGATCCCGCACAAAGTGATAATCTGTCACCGCATCCCCAAGTATTGCACAAGATGTCACACCATTCGTTATGTCTGTGGGAAAATCTGCCACAAAGTGTGCCACAAGGTCAAGAAGGTAAGGAATATATTTGTAAATATTCTAAATTTATCCTAATACATTATAAATGGTCTGGCTTCAAAATGGCCTATTTAAATCAAAACATGTGATTTCAGCAAACAGATGGATTTTCGGTACCCGAGGTTTGTGTCTGAACTACACACCGTAAAAACGCACAAGTTGTTACAAGTCTGCAAACAAGTTGTTGCAGATCTGTTCACAAGCTGTCGACAAGTTGTGTTCGCACTGCTTGTTCCCAGTTGTTGTAACAAGTTTGGAACAAGCTGTTGTTAAATTGTAACAAGCTTGATGGCATTATCAGACTTGTTAAAAGGTTGTTCTATAACAAGTTTGATACAGTCACGATATAACAGGAATGTTACAAGGTTGACGACACAAGATTGTAACAATATTGTTATATCATGACTGTATCAGACTTGTTGAAACAACCTTGCAACAAGTCTGATAATGCCATCAAGCTTGTTTAATAAAAGTTGTTAACAGCTTGTTGCACACTTGTTGACAACTTGAGACAAGCAGTGCGAATGCAACTTGTTGATGGCTTGTTGACAGACTTTCTACAAGATGCGAGATTTTTACGTGTGTACCTTATGACAAAAGTAGTAAATGCTTGCAACGTCGAAGCCCACTGTTCCACAGGTACTTCAACATAAACAAAAGGCAGTTTTTACAATACCACCTACATTGGACCTCCGTATTAATGCACTGGCCATTGTCTATAATTCCAACATAAAGATAGCAATGAATTAAATTACTTACTATTTCATTTTCTAGTGTTATAAGTCTTACTACTGAACACATGTGACGAAGGGACACCTGCTTTAAAACGGATTATTACGAAGGAATAAAATTTAATAGAAATATAAAATGTAGTCGAAAATCTACAAAGTAGTGTTCATTTATTTTAGAAATAAAGTTTGATTGCAAAATATGAGTGTGTTGTTTTTTATTTCCCAAAGTGCGGTGATATACACGCTTGTCAATTAACAAGATGTGTTCGCAACAGGCTTGTAGCAAGCTTGTCAAAAAGTTGTATAACAATGCTGTTATTTTATCAAGTTGCTACAAGCTTGTCACTCGCAATTTGTTGACGAATTGTTTGAATTGCATGCCGGACGATAACAAGTTGTTGGAATAACTTTAACAATTCTGTTGAGCTCAACAACCTTGTAGCATGTTGTCAACAAGCCGTAGACAACTTGTCAACAAGCTGGGAACAAGCAGTGCGAACACATCCTGTTGACAAGTTGTTGGAACAGCATTACTACAAGTCTGCTGCAGGTTTGTTACAACTTGTGCGTTTTTACGTGTGCAAGATATTTGCAGGATCTGGTCACGTGACTGCCCAACATTTGAGAGGTTCGCATCTGACTTCCGCTACCATTATAAGAGACCGTTAGTCAATCAAATGCCTCACTGTACGGTAGTGGAAGTCAAATCTGAACCTCTCTAACAAATCGAGTAGTACTGTCAATACCCAGAAATGGAAAGGTCGAATACAAGAAAACTACTTTGAAAGGATTTGTATAAAGGTCCAGACACACCGGACGCAATTCGACAACGCGGCGCGGTTTTTCGATTTTCATTGACCGATCACTTTGATTCTGATTTAATAAGTTTTTCAAATATTTAGAAATGCTATAACATTTTAAGTTATTTGGTCGATCTACATATCTTTTAAAATTTCCTTTCATTGGCTGTTTTACTAAACACCATGTCAAGTCTGTCCACGTTCTGCGCATCAGTTCTGCTCATAACAAAGGGGAACCATGCACAGATATAAACATTGAAGAAAAAATATGGCCTGCCAGTCTAAAATTTTTTGGCATGTGAAATAAATTTTAGCCTGTTATTTTTATTCATTGAACTGCCAAAATGGCGATGTTTCATATCACTCATATTGTAAAAATCAATGTTTTCATGACATACATTTTTATTGTTTTTAAACTTGTCTATTTTACTATATAGTAAACTAGCTTGTATTTACATTTCAAATATAAACGTATTTAGTCAAGTAATAAATGATGTAGGCCTAGTATATATGCATGAGTTGTGGTAAGCGAATGAAATGAAATATATCTATAGAATTTCACCTGCCATTTTTTTTTACTTTGGCAGTTCAAATTTGTTTTTGCCTGCCATTTCTAAAATATGTCCTGCTTTTGGCCACTGGCAGCCCGCTATTTCGATACTTTTGCGATGCGAAGAAGCGAATATACCATATGCATTAGCATATACCAGAACAAAACAAAAATGACCAAAACACAACGAAAATATTTTTACATTTGTACTTCAGCTCCCGTAAAACTGTGGTTGCAAACAAAACAGTTTTTACAAGCATTTAGTAATTTTATTCATTAGAAATAGCTCTTAAAAATACATCTGTACACTGTTAAACAAACGTTTGTGGCTTTCTTCATGTTTAGCATGGGTTAGTAAAACAATTTGCTCGTGTGTATATATATAAAACCGAAACGAAACGGGACGCCATTTTGTTTTTGTCCGGAAGTCAATAGTGCAAGGATATCCGGAACTGATCAACCAATCAAATTGCGCGAAAAGCACTATCATGCACCTCCCGAGTATATGCTATGTATATATATATATATATATATATATATATATATATATATATATATATATATATATATATATATATATATATATATATATATATATATATATATATATATATATATATATATATATATATATATATATATATATATATATACCTATATACCTCAAAGGTTTGCCACAACAGCCTGTTTCATCCAAGAGGAATCATTGGGTGGCTTTGTGGCAACCAAATTTATTCCAAAGAACAGCATGCATGTCTGCGATTATATGTAGACCTTGGCCTTCCTATAGGCTATACAGTTTTGTAGTCGGTCTGATAAAGTTTTGAAATTAAGTGGTTTATATAGTTATATAATTAAACTTATGCATAAACATAATCATGCAGGCGACAACGGGCTGCTGTGGCAACCTTTTGAGGTAAAAACAACTATATCTTCTCTATCTATATGATATCGAGCACTCTTTAGCATTTGGTGAACGGTGAACCAAACCACATTCGCAAATATATAAGGAAAAAAATGTTCTCGAGTGAGATATATCATAATTTTTAGACAGCGCGCAGGCAGAAAACCGTGCCTGCTGCAGCTGGGCTTCGAACCCGCGACCTTCCAATTACTAGATCGATCGAGTTACTATAGTCTTCGATCCATCCTGACCATGCATGTAGCTCATGCAGTTGGTAGAGCATCGATCTATAATCAGTGACAAAACACTTTGGACAGAATCGAATAGTAAAATAGCGCAGGTTTACAAGATATTCGAACCCCCGCGCCCTCTCTTCAATGCATGTTGTTTGGTCAAAAACGTGCGCAAAATTATACATGCTAAAGACCCAACATTGTTTAGGGGGAGGGAGGGTGTTACTACATTGATTGTAGTAAGTCGAAGGTCGCGGGTTCGAAACCCAGAAACCCTTGTGCGCTGTCTGGAAATTATGAGATATCTCACTCGATATATATATATATATATTACAGTATATATAAAATCATGAGAAAAATATATCTATATATCAATACCCGTTAACAAAAAGGTAGTCGTATTATATTTTATTATAGACCCTGTTTGTTCATGCATAAGTTTATATATTAAGTATATATAAACCACAATCAGCCGACAATTTAATTTCAAAACTTTATCAGACCAACTACCATACCGTACAGCCTATAGGAAGGTCAAGGTCTACACATACTCACAGAAATGCATGCTGTTCTTTGGAATACGTTTTGAATTTATTTTGCATTATATAATTATTCCCAATATTTGGTTTAAGAAACGGGTCTTGAATAATTTACACAAAACCCCAGGATGATAGCCAACAAAATATTCATCTGACCAGAATATTTTATATAGATTTGATGTATAGACCCCAAAAACAAATTAATGAGAGTAATCGGTAGAATTTCCACGGTTATACTGCAAAAAATACTTCAAAATACAGTAGTAATTAAGAAAGCTATCTATTTTCTCTTTGTAAATTCACGCAGTCGTTTGCAGCCAAAATTGTGGCTTTCCATGCTGGGTAAAGCAATGAATAATATATGAGTGCATGCATAGATAATTATAAAGATAAGTAAGATAATGTGTTATCGGGTCAGGCATAGTAATTATACATACAGGCTGTCATTGTAGCAAGGCGTCGAACAATGATGGATGGAAGAACGGCTATCTTTGGACTTGTAGTGGCTGTAGTAGTATGTTTCTGCCCTGGTGCCAGGTAATGTATGCATGGATATACTGTGTATATTTATACGAGTATGTTTTGGATCATATAAAATGTTAAAGAGTGCCCGAGTCGTATATAGATAGAGTTTATACTGTGATACCTCAAAAGATTGCCCTGTGTGATCCAACAGGAATGATTGGATGAAACAGGCTGTAGTTGCATGCAAGCTTGAGGTCAACAAAACTTTTGGGTATATATTTATAAACACTTTATTATAATGAGATTTTCAGTAACTCTCTTTACAAACGAAGTGTTAAGACTTGTGTTGCAAACATTGGCATAATCTTATTCAAATACAATCAATTTTGTGTAGTGTCTGCGGGAAGCACACGAAAGATTATTCTTTAGATAAACCATGCAGATCTTCAGGCATCACGGCTCAAATATAATGGCGGGCTTGAGCAAACCATGTTTTTGTAAACACGGATGTCACCCGAAAACTGGTATACTACTAATTTTGGCGGCATTTTGCATCGTATAGCGTATAGCGCTCGTGCAAGAAGCAAAAAACTTTAAAAATCTTATGTGTTGAAGATTATATACCACAAACCGACAAAACACAATTTTTAAACACAATCTGACGTCGGTGTTTACAAAAACGTCCCTTGTTTAAGCTCGCTAATAGACAGATTTAGATCGAGGACGCGGACGTCAAAGACGACGTGAAAATGGCGTCAAAATGGCGTGGCATATCATGCATACATGGGCACAACACGCCATTTTCACGTCGTCTTTGACGTCCTCGTCCTCGATCTAAATCTGTCTATTAGTGTTCCAAAATAATAAACAGTTATCTAAACCAGTGTACTTGCATGACGAACGTATATAGGCATGCAGTTTTAAATATTTAAAACAAATACTAATAATATTTCAATCGGTGCAAACGTGCATGTACTACTGTATATAAGTAAAAAGTATCTTACTGGACAAAATGAGAAATATTTTAATGTTATTGTGAACGATAGATCAGGCTTAAAGCATCATCCAAGCGATAAAAATCAATTGAATGTGTGTTAACTCTTTGAAGCCCACGCATTAAACTCAGAATATTAGCTACACCTGATGCAATTAAGTTCAAAACGCCACAATTGGACTTCTCATGTCTGAAATTTACGGTACCGACTCCTCAAACAGCCTGTGTAAGCAGTTGTTATCACCTTGTTACAAAGTTGATGACGGTAAAAGACTTGCTACAAGTTGTTCCAACAAGACTAATGCAGGCTGTCCTTTATACAAGTCGCTACGAGTTTGTTGTCATCAACTTGTCAACAACTTGTTACGTGCAGACGATATCAGACTTGTTTGAACAACTTGTTGCGAGTCTGTTGGTCTCAACAACCTTGTTACAAGATGATACTGTAATAACTTATTTCACACTGGTCAAAAACTCATGGAAATTATACTAGCAGTGCGAACACATCTTGTTGACGAGCATGCAGTAAGATGTTTACGCCTGTATTATGGCTTTGCTCGAGTCCTATGACGGATATATAAAGTAATCAATCGCTGGTTATGTACAAGTGAGCATATCTACTTTTTTCATGGGTTGTGCGCTGACTTTTAGTGTATAATACGGTTATAAGATTCTACCTTAGTGAATAAAAAATCAAATCTCTATTAATATATACAAGCTGCGTCACTTAAAATGGCTACCCCTGTCCGTGCGAACTAAATAAAAAACCGTTTTGAGGTGGGTTATCTTCAAATTATATGACTGATATACCTGATAGGATAACGATAACGATTGGATAGCGGATAGCGATTGGTTCTTTTGTTTATCATGGAAAACTGTGAAGATAAAATCGAAAAGTTGTAAATATTTAAGTGAGTCACGTCTCGTACCTGTTGCGTGCGGCGACCGTAAAGATTTTAGAAAAATTAACAATGAAGTTTCGTTTGGTTAAATTTGCATAAGAAATTAAAAAGAGTTTGTCTTTCTATCTATCTATCTATCTATCTGTCAGAATAGCCCGGCAAAGCAGGATAGATAGATTTATTTAAACTTAAAAGCAAGTGTACAAGTTAGTTAAAAGTTAGATCGACAGCAACCGTAAAAAAAATTTAGTTCGATTCAATTACGTATTCACATGCATTAGCCATTACAATGGACCATTTGCATTATAGACTATATAAATTTTGATCTACACAAAAATTTCATCACAGCTTGAAAGAGCATCACAAAATTAGTAATATTCCAAAGTTTCGTTGCGAAATGTTGTAAAATGCGGATAATATAGCCTTGCGAAATTTGCAATTTTCAGTCATTTTAGATTACAAACGGGAAATTGATGCCCCAACACCCGATTGGACTGTCAATTTCCCGTGCGTAATACAAAATGACTGAAAAACGGCAAACTTCGCATGGCTATATTATCCGCATTTTACAACATTTCGCAACGAAACTTTGGAATATTACTAACTTTGGTGATGCTCTTTCAAGCTGTGATGAAATTTTTGTCTAGATCAAAATTTAGTCTATAATGCAAATGGTCCATTAACAAAATTATTCTTAAATCTATTTGTCTTAAAATTAGGAATTTGAAACATTCTTCTTCCTCGCAGGCATATTTCTGAAGAGTTCACTGGAGGCAATATGTCATGTTTGTTCTCAGGATCGTTGACTATACGTTTTTAAAACGTTTGTTAGTTAAGACTTAAGTTCTGTATTCTTGCAGCCAAGGTAGCGGGACCCAAAAACAGAATGCGTAATTATAACCCAATTTAGATTCGCTGGTATACAGTCTTCGAGAGCGCCGGCCTCTAATTTGTATTAGGTTCGGAACATAATAAGAACGTTTGAAGTATAATTGGTTGACGTGCAGACACGCATCTGGCGATGTTGCATTTTCCTTGTGAACTCTGCGCCAAGCTGTCCGAATATTATCATCATTTTCTCTCAGAAATCGCCATTATTCGGTCGATTTCAGGTCACCGTTCAACGCGAGCATTCCAAAGTTTGTTGCAAACATGGCAAATAAATTTCCGAGTTCAGAAATTGGGCGTAAAGTTTGCAACGAAGTTCGCAAGTTCATAATTACAAAGTTTGAACTTCTAGTGTAACAATTATTGACAGTTCAAGTTGAAATGAACAATTCAATAAAAAGTTCTTTGTCCAGTGGTCTATACCTATTTCGTTGAATTGGTTATTATTATAGAGCTATGAACAAATGCTTACAAAAAGTTCAAACAGTGAAATGTACTTGCGAACTTCGTTGCGAAGTTCACGCCCAATTTTTGAAAACTTGGAAAAGTAATTGGTAAGTTCGCAACGAACTTGGGATCCGTGCGTTGAAAAGTCACTTGAAGTCGACATTAAAACGCAATGTTTATTGTAGTTGCATATATACAGGGTGTCCCAAAAATCTCCAAAACTATTGAAAATAACGTATTGTTAGAATTTGAATGCCCTAGCACTAAGCTGAATGCAAAGATGCGTAAAATATTGACAGGGTGCATATATTAAACATTGACTTATTAAGAAATTAAAATATCTTTGTAAAGCGCACGATTTTCTGCTCTTGGGAATTTAAAGCAGCTTCTTAAACGGTTTCTTTATGCATAAAATTTACTTACGTCAAGCTTTGATGCACGTGTGGGTTCAGGCTGAGGCATTCAAATTCTAACAACACGCTATTTCAATAGTTTGGGTTTTTTTGGGACACCCTATATATAAAAAGAGAATTTTACAAAATGACAGTATATACAACGTATCCATTTCAGAGCGAAGATAAATACGACGACGAGTAGTTTGGATCCGTTTGACATACTCACCAAGGGCTACAACAAGAAGCTAAGACCGAATTACAGCGGTGAGTATAGCCTGCTCCGCAGATAACTTTGCATGTGAGGAACTATAATAGGTCAAAACTTGCCAAAAGTGTTCTTTATTAACTTCATATTCAATATAAATTTGCATTGAAAACTCGTATAATTTTATTTCAACCCTTGCACGTTACGTCACAACACGTCACTGGATCAGTGATCTCTATATAATATACATCTGGAGCAATGAAGCCAAGAATCAAGATGGCGGAAATTGAAGTCCAATGGCTATAAAGGCCGTAAACAGTTTTAATACCATTCCCCCTCCTCCCCACCTAATTCCAGATTTTTCAAAGAACCGTATGTCAAAATACGCACACTCCTTGCCAGCTTCTCGTGTTAACCGCCCAGTTATCAGTTTACTAAAAAATTCACTTACATAACGTTGCTCGTTTTTGTATAGTTATACTCCCAATTCATTTGATTATCACATACAATCAGCATGAATTCTTCTCAAAATTTTCCTAAAAACACAACAAAATTACACTGTGAAAGCAAATTGGCTAAAATAACCTTTTTTGCCATATAAACAAGCTTGCCTCTGATGTATTTAGTACATTTGCACATACAGAGCTGTCAATCTCATCTGACTTTGGCTGAATGTTATGGTTTGCCAGGGATGGATTTACTGGGGGTGGGATGCACCCCCCCTAGCCTTGGCCAGAGGGGGTGCAGGGGGAAGGTGCTATTTTTCATGATAAAGCAAAAAAAATATTAGAGACAAAATGAGATACAGTAATTTGAGTAATAACATGATGATAAGCAAACTGTGAACAACAATTACAATTCAAATACAGTAGTCAAGCAAGACTTTGTAGTATAGTCACGTAAGTTGATGGGCGGGCGGCACACATGACCGACACAACTCGGCACCAAAGCTGGCAGAGCACCCCACCCCCCTACCAGATCATGCTGGATCCATCCCTGGTGTATGTAATGCCAATAAACTATACCTGAAAAATACAAGGAGAAATTCGAGCGACTAACGTCTCGACAAAGTGCCTTCGCTCGAAACGTCGAAGTTCTCCTTGTATTTTACAGGTAGTTGTATCACTACCATTCCGAAGCTTTCTTATATCTATAATAAACTTATTCATACTTCAATTACTTGTTTCGTTCCATATCAACAGGTCATGCAGTTAAAGTTCTCGCCAGTTCTTATATCGTCGCTTTGGACAATGTCAATGATGTGAAGTCGGTAAGATCATGTGATTAAATTATCATGAATGAAAAGATAGTATTTATTGGACCTTATAAGATGCAAGATAGCGTATAGTTATCATTGAAATCATGACAAACAATTATGAATTAATCAAGAGAGAAGTATGTAGAAACATGAACTGAGATGAAGGGCCTTCGCTCGAAACGTCTTGTATTAATAATCCAGGAGTAAATTAGCCAACCTTTATTTTGCTCACATGATAATACTCGATACATAGATATAGGAGATCTAGATTGCTAACGCATACCTAGCGCAGGTGGGGCCTACATGATAAATCCAAGATGGCGGTACAACAGGGCAAAAAGACTATAAATTGTATTACGAAAATGAGGATTTTTGCAATTTTTGCCGTCGCATTGTTTTGAAACTTATTCGGTCAAATTTTATGGTAAAGAGAAACTTACCGCGAAGATTTTGAGCATATATATAATTGAATTGGATGAAAACTCGCAAAATTATCCAGCGATAAAAGTTCGTGTATAGTAGTGATATAGTACTATATATGTAACTTGTACAGTTTTGCTTTAATTTTTGCTCACTATTTGCATAAAAAGCAAATTATAACAGACCATAGATGATAGACCCTCATCCAGTGCTCTCATCAGTTTACTTCTCTAACAAGCAAGGGGGGGGGGGTACATAACAGTTCATTTTTCATAATTATGAGGACAGAGCAGATGATGATGAGAGATGCAAGTATAAAACACCATTCACAAGGCTTGATGTTAACATAGCACAGTGTTTCTGGCAATAAAACGCTCCAACTGACTATTTCACACGAACTTTTATCGCTGGATAATTTTGCGATTTTTCATCCAATTCAATCATATATATGCTCAAAATCTTCGCGGTAAGTTTCTCTTTACCATAAAATTTGACCGAATAAGTTTCAAAACAATGCGACGGCAAAAAATGCAAAAATCCTGATTTTCGTAATAGAATCTATAGTCTTTTTGCCCTGTTGTACCGCCATCTTGGATTTATCATGTAGGCCCCGCCTGCGCTAGGTATGCGTTAGCAATCTAGATCTCCTATATCTATGACTCGATACATATCTTTGCATGACAAGCGCTGGTCAAATGTGATCATTTCTACGTATCTTTGCATGACAAGCGCTGGCCAAATGTGATCATTTCTACATATCTTTGCATGACAAGCGCTGGTCAAATGTGATCATTTCTTTATGTTTCCTCTCTCGCTATATGCAGGATTTTACAGTAAAGATGTATTTCTCGCAATATTGGAACGACAGTAGGCTGATATTTGGAGACGAGCTGCAAGGTCTGGAACACAAAGGTTATCTGAGAGTTGTGGGTGAGGACATGAAAGACATCTGGACGCCCGACACTTATGTTGAGAATGAAGAAAATATCGGAGGTCATAAAATATTCTCCAGTGTGAAAATAACTCGCCATGGAGAGGTCCACATGAGCAAGAGGTAACACTAAAAGATGCAGGGGAACTCGTGTATAAGACTAGAATTAGGAGTCCGCCCCCCCTTTTCTTCAGAACTAATTTTGTCATTCTTTCAAAACTGAGAAACTGGGGGGGGGGGGCGTAACCGCTTAACTGATCTTTTCATATATGAATAAAATATACCAAATCTGTGGTTTTTACATTATCATAAAACGTATCTGAAATGCACAAAATAGAGTTTCGTAGACTCTGAACATAGAAAATATTTTCCGAGGGAACAATGCCCACGATGGTCGGACGATAAGACCGCCCCCCCCCCAATTTGTTTGGGGCTGGCTACGCGGCTGCCTCCGCCCGCCAATTAATGTTATAGAACACCTTTGAGTGTTAATTTTGCCTAAAAATATTTTATTGGTTTCAATGAAAGCATTAGACTAATTCTAATATCTGACCAAGTTTGAACGAAAAATGTTGAAAACTCGCAGAGTTATTTAATAAAATACATTTCGCTGCAATAAGAAAAACATTGAAAATGTAATATTCATATTCAATTTTCTCCCGAAACATGTTACGGTAATTACTGATTTTCAAACGAGTTGTGCTCCTGCGGGTTTTAACCAATTTTTCTCAAATTTTCACAGGACATAGCTAAGTACGTTAGTTTCAAAATGGTGTTCGGCTTTTTTTAATTTCGGATATTTTAAAAATAAAGAGCAATTCACTCAAACAATTCAGAAATATATTGCAGTCGTCAAAGAAATCGCCATATCAGCGGAATGACGAAATAAACAAAAATTTCCGAACACAATTTTTTAGAACAACTATTTTACTGTATATAAATGATATTTTCATAAATATAACTTAAAACCAGCAGGAGCACAACTCAAAAGCGTAACGGTACCGCGATTTAAGATTTTCCTGAATAATGCTTACATTATTTTATTGTTTGTTAATTTTACAACTTTACCATATTTTGCATGCACTGGAGAACATTTGGTGAAAATTTGATGAAAATCGGACTGATATTGAGCGCGCAGTAGCGATTTTCCGCAAAACGCCAAAAACGGTGTCCTGCAGTAACCTTAAGTTATGTACCTGCAGACATAAATTATACAATGGGTTAACTACGCATTCTGTTCACCCTTCTTGGCAAAGTAAGACAAACTTTTGATAAGTTCTTGTCCAATTTTCAATCAAATTTAACCAAAATTTAATCAATTTGTCCTTGGGCAATGTCCATTTCTCTCACAAAGTTTCGTACTAATACGTTTGATAGTTTACGAGTTATTGTGCTGGCAGACACACACATCATAGTACACAAGTCTTGTTCCAGTGCCTCATATCCTGAGTGTACAGGATGTTATATACTTTTCGGAGTGAATAACGTTTACAGTTTAAGCTTAACTTACTTCTCTACTCATTTCTATGCAACTCTATTTGTTTAGATTAACAATAAAAGCTAACTGTCCCACAATGAATCTCAAGTTATTCCCGCATGATGTGCAGACCTGTGATTTACTTCAGACAAGTTGTATGTATCCAGTAAACTAGCTTTATTTACACTGAATGATAGATCTTTTAGTTCTAAAAGGTCCATTCCTTTACTGGTCCACCGCCCAGAGTTACTACACCAGGAAACCTAAACTAAACTAACTTTATTTATACTGGATACTCTATCAGTTCTAAATTGTTCTCTCTAGAGGTCCAGTAAGGATCATCTCTTATTAATCCAGTGTTACTACAGGAGGAAACCTAACCTAAACTAATTTTATTTATACTGGATAGCTCAATCAGTTCTAAACTGTTCTTCCTAGAGGTCCAGTAAGGATCATCTCTTATTGATCAGTGTTACTACAGGAGGAAACCTAAACTAACTTTTGTTTATACTGGATAGTTCTATCAGTTCTAAACTATTTCCCTATAGAGGTCCAGTAAGGGTTATCTCTTATTGACCCAGTGCTACTACAGCTCCATCAGTTCTAAACTGTTCTCCCCAGTTCTTTGTTGTTTTAGTGCAGGAGGAAAAATAAACTAAATCCTTTTCCTAGATGCATTTCCAAACACCGAGCTTACATATGCTTGGAAATCAGAGAACGCTGTGATAGTAGGAGAGAGTTCAATAGCAACGCAATACATACTGGATAAAGCCATCACGAGCATTGAAGATGTATATTTTAAATCCACCAGTAAGTAAAACTCTAGCTTGAGTAACAAAGTGGTAAGAGGCCGGCATATTCTTCAGCATGGAAGGCATTCTGTTGTAGTTTCATTCAATAAACATAGCGAGGGTGATGTATTATTTAAAATCATATAAATAAGCATTATACTAAATTGCAAATCGTCTTAATTTGGTTCTAGATGCAACCTGGACATATCTGAAGTTAAAATTTGTTCTTCGACGTAAAATAGCGTACTACATTATCAGAATATATCTTCCTGCAATCCTGGTGACTCTGACGTCATGGATTTCATTCTGGGTGGACCCTACCGCTATCCCAGGTACGTTATGTGGCAAACACTGGAGCAATAAGGGACGACCCAGATGTCTAGGGATAGTTTAGAACTGTTAGAGCTATCCAGTATAAGTTATAGGTTAGTTTAGGTTTCTTAATGTAGTAGTAACTGTAGTCCTGTAGTAACACTGGATCAATACGAGATGATCCTTACTGGACCTCTAGGAAGAACAATTTAGAACTGATAAAATTATCCAGTATAAATAAAGTTAGTTTAGTTTAGCTTTCCTCCTGTAGTAACACTGGATCAATAAGAGATGATCCTTACTGGACCTCTAGGAAGAACAGTTTAGAACTGATAGAGCTATCCAGTTTAAATAGAGTTAGTTTAGTTTATGTTTCCTCCTGTTACACTGGATCAGTAAGAGATGATCCTTACTGGACCTCTAGGAAGAACAGTTTATAACTGATAGAACTATCCAGTGTAAATAAAGTTAGTTTGGTTTAGTTTTCCTCCTGTAGTAACACTGGATCAATAAGAGATGATCCTTACTGGACCTCTAGGAAGAACAATTTAGAACTTATAGAGCTATCCAGTGTAAATAAAGTTAGTTTGGTTTAGGTTTCCTCCTGTAGTAACACTGGATCAATAAGAGATGATCCTTACTGGACCTCTAGGGAGAACAGTTTAGAATTGATCAATAGAGCTAGATCCAGTCTAAATAAAGTTAGTTTAGTTTAGGTTTCCTTCTATGATCTTTACTGGACCTTGTTTTATGTTACTATAATGAATGTATGTTTGTTTTCCAGCTCGTCTATCTCTGTGTGTGATCACAGTGTTGGCAATGACTACATTGTCCTATAGTTCTCAGTCAATGGTACCAAGTGTTCCCTACGTCAAGGCTGTTGATGTTTATCTCATCATTTCATTCTTTTTCGTCTTCGGTTCACTTCTCGAGTATGCCTGCTTGCTCAATATACGACTACGGTGTGTGGGTCAACGTGCACATAAACAAAAGGTAAGCTCTCAGAAAATACTTCTACAGGGTTGTCAAGCATTGGCACAGAATACAGACACACAGAAGGTCGACTCAGCCAAAAAATGTAACCACTGGTCCACTGCCATATGAATCATTGCGAATCATGACATGACCCATGTCACAGAATAGGAAGTTATAGCAGAAGTGTAACTCTAGACGTTTTCCTTATTGTTTGACGTCCACGAAAATTTTAACTCGCTCACGCCAATCCACGCCATCCTGGCTAGTACAGCCGGAAGTTTTTATCAGGTTTTGGTAGGTACAAAGTGCCGGTTGTACTAGCCAGGATGGCGTGATTGATGACGAATCGCTTGTAAAAACGCGGACAAATACTTGCTTGAGTTACGCTTCTGCTATACCTTCCTATTCTGTGCCATGGTGCTAGCCAGTGTGCTTATGAGAGGCATTCACCCCCTGGACGTCTGCCATTTTGAACATTTTCAGGGGGGTGAATGCCACTCAATAAGTGCACTGGCTAGAAAAATGGCATCAGCATTTCAACGGTTACGCCAAAATCATAGACAAAACTAAGAAATCAGCCTTCTCATTTCATTTTATTTGCCAATATATGGAAAAGTTAATATTTACAATCTTCAAAGTATACAATATGACGGGCTAGGAGCCTTTGTGAAACCCTTTCAGGCTTTTTGTTCAAAGGCCCCTAGTTCTATATTAAAATAACTGTTTTATACAGTAAGTTAATCATGTAAATGTCAAAAGAATATAGGAATATTTACAAATAAAGTATGGAGTAAGGAAAAATTTAAGCTAAAAGTAATAATGAGCTAATTGTACAAAATTCTGTGTCTTGTCAAAAAAATTGGGAAACCCCAAATATTGTTTGTCTGTACAGGTTGGCAATTTCAGCACTTGTATGCGGTTGGTCTGCGATCTATTGTAACAGTTGTATGTAATACTGTAGCTAATAATAGCCATCATGGCGGTCAGAAAACCAAAAACTTGTCATAGAAAGTTTGTTGCACATGCACAGGTGCAATTGATAAAAAAAAACTTGCCATACGAAAACTTGCTCGTCTGTAACTGGCTTTAGGAAGCCATAAAGTGGCGTAGTTTTTCCAAATTTGTTCATCCGTAAATAAATTGAAACATTTGTACCACAGGGGAAGGCAGAAGAGATTCCGCTGACTAACAAAGAGCAAAATGACGGAATTGCTGAGTTGGAGAATGGCAAGGAAAAGGGATGTAATGGCAAGGAAAATGTACAGGAATCAAGTGGAAATGCGGGTTATTTCTCAACATGGACACTGGACACTTTTAGTTCTGTTCTATTTCCTGCTGCTTATGTTTTCTTTCATTTCGTCTTCTATTTAGTTATATTAGCTTGATTCCAAGGAATTGATAGTAAGCACAAAATAATATATATAATATATAAATCCTCAATTGAACAGTGCAAGACATTATGCACAAGAGCAGATTTTCATTTATTTAAAAGGAGGGGTAGAAAAATTTCTGGTTGGGTGCAAGCGGCACCACTCAGTGAGCTTCGACAGGGGTTAGGCATTTGGGTTAAAGAATTTCACACAAAATAGGAGGGATGAAGCAAAATTTTGGTGGGGTTGAACACTTTACTACAGGGGTTAGAAAAATTCTAGGGGGGTTTAACCCCCCCCCCCCTCCCCCCAGTAAATCCACCCATAATTATGCAAAATACTGGAGGTGCAAATTTTGGTTTGAAGTTTATTCGAAAACATTTTGCTGCTGGAAATGTGTTTACAATCTGAGGCATTCGAAATGGTGAATAATCACAGTATTTTGATGACAGATTATTGCAAATAATGGCATGGTTACGCTTTTTTGGTTGAGTCGGCCTTCTGGCCGTAGGAGTAGAAAGGCCCGTTAAATTTCTGTCACCTTTTAAAAGGAAGAATAATAGAATTATATATTTAGCAAACTGTTATCATTGAGGATTTGTCCGCTTTTTGAAAGCTTTCTAGTATCGAATTATATAATTATCCTAGTTATTTGTAGCTTTTAAATACTTACTAGTAAAGATATATAAAGAAATGTAAAATTCAGTTGCTTGCACACTTGAATATTTATCAATATATTTTATGAAACTATGAAAGTTTGTTCACCTTTTATATTCGGTTATCAAATTTATCTTATTCAGTTATACTCACCAGAATGGTTCCATCTTTGGGAACATCATTGAATAATCTATCCTTTATCATTTTAACTTAAGTTTCGTTCAAATTCTTCCAAACTTTGTACATATTTTACATCATAAATCATGTTCTTTTTAAATTTCCCACAAATTTTGCATAAAACACGATGATTCTACGAGACGGTCTCGAGTCCCTACGAGATGTTCCGAGAACCGTCCGAAACAGTTCATTATAATCTGTGGTTTAATATTTCTACATGATCAAAATATTCAAATAAACGCGTGTTTTGACATTTTGCCAATAGCGGAAAAACAACTGTATCAAATTATTCGTAATTGAATTTCGTTTTTATAGTGAATTTTTACCCTACACGCTAGTTTATATACTGGCAATTCAGTTACGCCAATTTTCTTTTGCGTGAAACGAAAAAGTGTTATATTTGCTAGAAGAATTGCAAGTGGCTTCTGACCGCAAATTGTCTGTCATTATCCTTTTATTTTCGAACAAAAACGAAGGCTGACTCACGCTTCTTTGGCACCTGGCTTTATTTCGTTGCCATGGCTACCGACCAAACGGCGAAGGTCGCAAGTGACGTCATCTCGATCGCTCGACCAATGAGAAGCGAGAGCGGTCCGAAAGCTCGACCGGTGTTTTCAAACAATGCTTTCCTGTAGGACGATGCCTGTGTATTTTGGTCGAAAAATCGCATTTTTTATCGACGATCGGTGGTGAGTTTCGCAGAAAATGAGTGCGGACATCGAAGGGCATATCACGGAGAAATATGAAATCAAAAAGCGCCTGGGAAAGGGGGTAAGTCGCGCAAATATTGTCAACATGTTGTACACGCAACAGTAGCGAGTTGGCTATTGTCCCAGCTGACTAAAAAGCAACAATCGCGAAATTTTGTGTGTTTCTTTATCACAGGCGTACGGGATCGTATGGAAAGCAGTCGATAGAAAAACAGGCGAAGTTGTAGCGGTAAAGAAAATATTTGATGCGTTTCGAAATCAAACGGATGCACAGGTATAAAAAGCTATGTATATTGACATCGTTCACATCGAAATTGTCCTCGAATATTCTCAATGAAAAATTCAAAATAAATTGAATTAATTTTAAAGGTGGAATAACGTTGCGAAATATGTTAATGTCCCCCTAGATTTTCACTTCTTGTGTGCAAAATATTAATGCTAAATCATTTCTTTTGATTTTTAGAGAACGTTTAGGGAAATATATTTTCTTCAGGTGAATTACAAGTTAAACATTTAAATTTGACACCTTGTATTTTTACAGTTTTTTCCATATGAAGAATTTGTGTCATGTTTATGGAGTGCAATCTCAATATTTTTATTTGCTTAGGAATTCGGTGATCATGAAAATATAATAAAGCTATTAAATGTAATCAAAGCCAGCAACGACAAAGATATTTACTTAGTATTTGAATATATGGGTGAGTTGTCACATCAATATGATACCTGAAAATTATTTTTAAAATTTATCAAGCCCGCTATAAATCCCAATATTCTTTATTATTTCTTGCAATATTGCTAAGCAAATATCATTGATTGGTCTTTGCTCAGGGGGTTATATTTTTAATAACACATTAGCTTGCTAAGGTTTATTTACCAAAACCAACTCATGATATATCATGTGATTTTATAAATAATTATGACATAAAATACAGATGTCCCAAGTTTGACCTATGTACCTAATCTTGTGAGGTTTTATTCACAAGAATTGCTGCTATGCTTGTGGGATTTAAATTCTGGTTGAACATGCTCACTTTGTCATTTAACATCCCACAAGCAAAACAGAAATATTTTTATATAAAATCTAGACTACAATTGGTTCACCCTTTAAGTGGCAATATGACATGCCCTATTCTATTATTTTACTCTATCTAATGCCAGATGCCACCCAATGGGTTAATAATGAATTTGGGAACTTAAATGAAAACATCAACAATTATAGCACCCTTACTCTAAGACAAAAGGAACTAGCAAATTATATTCCCTTGAGCATTGTAGTATACTGTAGTTGTTCATACTGCTACGTTATTTACAACATTTTCTTGGCTTCATAACCACGTCAACAGTGAACACGTTCTAAGTCGTTTGACTGTTCAATGTGATTTCACCGACTTTTGAGAGTAATGTTCAAAATAAAGATAAGTTCTTTCAAGAGGCGAATGAAGTCTAGTAATAGTACCAAGTAATGTGTGCTTTGGCTCGAATGCATCAATGAAAGTACAGTAACTTTGTTTTCTGCCATTGTAAGTTTCGAAACTCACTAATCCCATTCAAGTCTGTTATTTGGAGCTGTTGGAATTTTAAAGTTTTCAGATTTAATTTACATTTATAATCTACTATTTATGCATGACTTCGATAATCAAAACCTCTCCCATTTTTTGATGACTTCTTCATTCTAACTAGTAAGGTACATCAATACAACACACGACAAGCATCAAAACGTACATTTTATGTGCCTTCTGCACGAACCAATTATGGAAAATTTAATATTAGATACATGGGTTCTAAGACTTGGAATGAGCAAAAAGTGTTTTATTGAGAAACATATTATTTCTATGCTTTTAAACTCATATTGATGTTAGACTGTGACTTAAGTTTGTTTTTATCTTGTATCTGTATCTTTTATTTATTTATCATTGTTTCTATTTTTCCTCTCAGAGAGTGCCAAACATATTAAATAATACCATCTGCTCATCCCTTGAAATTTATATATACTGAGTTTAAATATCCTGTGCTTTATCCTTTTTGTTTTAATATTGTAAATATTCTAACGTCATTATGTATTGTTATTGGCACATTGATTAAATCTTCTTGTCTTGTCTTGAGTGGAAGAGAGTTAATTAATCAGTCCTTCAATGTTTATTTTGCAGACACTGATCTTCATAATGTAATAAGAAAGGGGAATATTTTAAAAGACATCCACAAACGATATGTCATGTATCAACTATGTAAAGCCACTCACTATTTACACTCAGGAAATGTCATTCATCGAGACCAGAAGGTAGAACAGACCACAATATCATTGTGATATTAATTTGAAAGATTTGCTATATTATAATTTTTTCTTGTGCAACTATTGACATACATATATCTGAATATTTGATTCCTATTTAGCCAAGTAATGTTCTGCTGGATACGGAATGTTTTTTAAAGGTAACAGTTCAAGAAATTTCCAAAAAGATTGCCAACTAAAATGCATCATCTATTAGCCATTCCGAAGTTGATGAGTGGACTCAGGGGATGAGTGTTAAAAAGTGTCCAAATTAAGAAATGAACCTAATCACTAAAAAGACCACCTCAAAATTAGTAAGTATACAAAGATTGAAGATGTTTAGATGAATATCCTTCGAATAATAAGCTTTCGAAAATCGTGATATTTACTATGAAATGTATTGTAATATTTGTTTTTGGGAGGCGCGTCCCAAAAACAATCTTTTAATTAATCAGTAATTTCACAATATTCGAAAGCTTATTATTCGAAGGGTATTCATGTAAACGTCTTCAAACTTTGTATACTTACTAATTTTGAGGTTGTCTTTTTAGTGATTTGGTTCATTTCTTAATTTGGGCACTTTTTAACACTCTCATCCCCAGTCCACTCATCAACTTTGGAATGGCTAATATAAATGAACAGTGTTTGTACCGAGAGGAATTATTGGCCAAACTACCTTTTCAGTGCCTTAATAAAATTCATCTAGACAGATGCTTCTCAAGATTTAAGAATGGTCTGGCTAAAGATATTGACAGGCAATAGATAACAAGACGCTATCTATAGAGCGTTAAGTTGCTGGGCTATAGATATACAGCACATTTAGTTGGTACTACAATCATACATGATGAAAAACATGTCTTGATGGCCAATTGAAAAGTTGTGATGTTTCTATATTTCATACGATTGTTTCTGTGCATCGCTGTCTTTGTATTTCTGCCTTTGTCATGCTAAAAAAATGTCCTTTTGACCACTTAACAGATTCATTTGCATTAATACATCTCCAAATTCTTGTCTTTAAATCCACAAGGCTGTTGTACAAAACACAGTTTTCAAATTCTTCAATTTTCCTCAAAACATTGGGCTTGGGCCATTTTGTGATGAAAGACAAGCCACTCATTAATATTCCATTTTGTGGCTGAACCTACTGTAAACCTATAGTCACCTGGGTACAGGGGTGCCCCAGCGACTAATTATTATCCTTGTTCTAGATATGTGACTTTGGCCTGGCCCGCTCATTGAGCAGCGTAACTCTAGAATCAGGCGATCCAAGTCTAACTGATTATGTTGCGACAAGATGGTACAGAGCTCCTGAAATATTGCTGGCTTCACCAAAGTATGGGTCCAGCATTTGTAGATCATTTAAAGATAATTGTTGTTTATGTCAGTAGTATTAAGTTTTACCATATTCTAACCATTTTTTTCAACTTCAGATACACAAAAGGCGTTGATATGTGGTCACTTGGCTGTATTCTGGGAGAAATTCTTTTAGGTACCTTAAGTATTCTGTTTTACTAGAACTTTATTTCTCATTCTGTGACAGTGGGTAAATTATTGATGTTTCTTCACACATTGAACATCTTGCTGTTTTCTAGGAAAGCCATTATTTCCTGGAACGTCGACATTGAATCAAATTGAAAGAATAATGGCTGTCATTCCACCACCATCAAGGCAAGGTAATTAGTCTGGAAAAGCGTCTGACCAACTAGTCAGTCAACCTAGATCAAACCAACCGAGGCTTAAGTTTATCAGTTTTGTTGCAGATATTGACAGTATTCAATCATCCTACGGTTCATCAGTCATTGAACGTATGTTAAACAAGCCAAGAAAGAGTCTGGAAGATATTCTACCAACCGCCCCGATAGATGGCCTAGATTTACTCAGACGACTTTTACAATTCAATCCAGACAAGCGACCCACGGCAGAGGAAGTGTTACATCATCCCTATGTCTCGCGGTTTCATAACTCTGACGATGAGCCGACCTTAGATCACGAGGTCCACCCCCCACTCAGTGACGATCAACAGTTGAGTGTCGATGAATACCGCAAGAAATTATACGAGGTGCATATAATACATACATGCTAATACAGACACCTCTCTAATACAGACACCTCTCTAATACAGATACCTTTCTAATACAGACATCTCTCTAATACAGACAAATTTCTAATACAGACATCTCCCTAATACAGACATCTCTCTAATACAGACATCTCTCTAATACAGGCATCTCTCTAATACAGACATCTCTCTAATACAGACATCTCACTAATACAGACATCTCTCTAATACCGACATCTCTCTAATACGGACACCACTCTAATACAGACATATGTCTAATACAGACATCTCTGTAATACAGATACCTCTCTAATACAGACATCTCTGTAATACAGACACCTCTAATACAGACACCTCTCTAATACAGACACCTCGCTAATACAGACACTTCTCTAATACAGACACCTCTCTAATATGAACACCATTCTAATACAGACATATTTCTAATACAGACACCTCTAATACAGACATCTCTCTAATACAGACACCTCTCTAATACAGACATCTCTCTAATACAGACATCTCTCTAATATGAACACCATTCTAATATAGACATATTTCTAATACAGACACCTCTAATACAGACATCTCTCTAATACAGACACCTCTCTAATATAGACCCCTCTCTAATACAGACACCTCTCTAATGCAGACCCCTCTCTAATATACGCCCCTCTCTAATACAGACCCCTCTCTAATACAGACACCTCTCTAATACGGACACCTCTCTAATACAGACACCTCTCTAATACAGACACCTCTCTAATACGGACACCTCTCTAATACGGACACCTCTCTAATACAGACACCTCTCTAATACGGACACCTCTCTAATACAGACACCTCTCTAATACAGACACCTCTCTAATACGGACACCTCTCTAATACAAACACCTCTCTAATGGTCTAGGACATATTGGAGAAAAAATCACTGCTGCGGAAACAACGAAAGACGGAAAATGATCAGACTGTTGAAAACGGAGAGAAATCGTCATCAGAGGAAGCTGGCGCTAAGGCAGACGAAGTTCCCACCACTACTAAGCACAGCAGTAAATACACGAACGGTAGTCTACAGAAAGCGTGGGGCAAGGAAGGTGGGGAGGCACACCATACCTCTTCACCTCAGAAGGTCGGCTTTGGTAGGACGACGAAATCACAACCCGCTAGTCATGATAAACAACCGCGAGCGAGTTCTGTCAAGGTGTATAGTAGGAAGCCCGCAGTTGAAGATGACAAGGTTAGTACTAAAGGAATACCAAATGCTTTTCCGATTTTCCCATCTTGTGTATGTACAATGTTCCCATCTTGTGTATGTACAATGTTCTCGTACGCTTCGCTTTATGTAGATTCCACTCCATACGGCCAACAAGGAAGCAGCCTTTTTCAAAGCTTGAAACAAATTCTTGCGAGGTGACAAATATCTTCAACATAGCATTCTTGGAGAGTTAAATAAACATATACGAGTATTCCCCTCCGTACGGCCAACAAGGAAGCAGCCTTTTTGAAAGCTTGAAACAAATTCTTCAACATATTCTTGGAGAATTAAATAAACATACGAGTGTATTTCTTCTCGAATTGATGGCCAGCAAACTCTTTCTAAACCATTTTGCAAAAACCTCTTTTTTCTTTAAATCTTTCCTTCGCAGTAAAGTTGTGTATCTGTGATAAACTATCCTTGTTAGCATAAACCTGAAACTTTCATCAAAAGCTAGCAGAGTGAGTAGCCTTGGTACTATATAAAGGAATACCAAATAGTTTTTCGTGCAGGATAGCGTCATCCATGCACGTGGGATGTTGCAAGACTTTCGGAAAGCGTAACACACGGGTATTGACCAATCAAATGGCGTGTTTCACTGTAGTTACAGTATTATATAATACTTTTTCCAGTGAATGTTTGCGTCGGATCGAGAAACCCTCTAGGGAGCCCGGGAGCTTAGTTCTCAGGATTTTCTTAATTGTCTCTGAGAGAATGTCGTCTGTATTCTCAGATATGTTTTCTACAAGGGTAAAGCTCTGTGTGGCGATGGTAACGTGTTATTCTTACATTCTTTCCACGTTTCTTTTAGGCATTTCCGGGCGCTTCACGTGCAGTTCCGAACAGAAGCCGACCAATCTCGGCACAAGTTAAACATGCGACAATCACACGCGGTACAACACAGCCTCAGGCATCCGGACAGCAAGCGTCTGGACTGAGCGTCACCAGCGCTAGAGTGGTAAGTTGTCATGGTTTGTTTGAATGCAGCTGAGATCACAAGATCAGGCCTTGGTCAGCGAAACCCGTCTGACAAAATGTTCGATGGGTCGCCGGACATATGTATTGTGACGTCCGATGACTTTGAGTTCAGTTTGGCTTGGAAATAAGTATGAATGAAGACACAAATTAATATCAGCACAATTTGGAAAAGTCATATGAATCTTGGCAATGAATTTCCAAACCCCACGGTGAAAAAACTCCACACTTGATTACAGGGCCTCCGTTGATACCAGTGTTTTTACACTGAAGGAATTACCGGGTGTAAATAAAATTATCTATCTATCTATTACACATTTCCAGTTCACTTTTTATACATTACTCTGATTCTCCATTGAACACACGAGCCTCCAGTCCTTAGCCTGCGCGCAGACTATATGACATATGTCATTATATAGTCTGCGCGCAGGCTACCTGGACTAGGGTAGGACGTTGGACAAAGTTTGGTCGGACACCAATTCAACTCGGGTCGGACAAACAATAAACGTCAGTTTCACTTAGGTCGGACAGAATGTCCAGTGGTTTCCTCTCTACGTCGGACAATTTCACGAATGGGTCGGACAATGTCTGTGACCGATATTTTAAGGCTTGAAGAATTTATCAAGAAGTTATCTTTAAAATAATAATCTGTCCACATTTTCCTCGTTAGATCCCAGGACAACGTCCTTCATCCACAAAGGCCGCGTACAAGCCTGGGCGACGACAGATAAACAATCCAGCGGCCGGTAAGGAAAGCATCAAAAACTTCACGCAAGACCATGGAACAATCGATAAAAGCGCATTGGACAATCTAAAGCGATGGTAGCATGTGATTGGCTGATATGTGGTAGTCCTACCATTTGATTGGCTGATGTATGCTAATGCTACCATTTCATTGGCCGGTATGTGGTATTCCTCGCATACGATTGGCTGAAATGGACGCCATATGCGTGAGTGGCTGAAATGTGGTGTCGGATTGCTATTGGCCGAGATCTAATGACGTTCGCTGGACGAACGGTCACATTGCCATTCAACAACAAAAAAATTAAAATATTTGCTACTCAGAGCGACAATACACATATAAAACACCGAGATTAACACCAGGAACTTTTATTTTCGACTTTTTAAACAACATTTGGGTGGATTTACACCTTGACTTCACCACTAGCCTTCGTACGTACGGACCTCGGGAAAATGGTCTTTATTTGGACGAATTTGAATTGAATATTTAATTATTAATATTAAGAATATTAATATATAATGAGAGGAAAGTAATTTATGGTACTAAACTGTACGAAATATTTGGTAAATATAGAATTTTTTTTTAGAATCTCAAGATAGGTTAAGTGTTAGGGCTAGAATAACGATATGCCTGTATGATATTGGTAAAACCCTTGACAGACCGAGAATTTAAGTTGGTTTGCGAAGTTAGCTAAAAGGCTGAAATATTTTTGCGCACCAATAGACCTTTCCCATTTTGAGTGAAATTTTGATCTAGACAAGTCTGGGCAAAAATTTCATCACAGCTTGAAAGAGCATCACAAAATTAGTAATATTCCGAAGTTTCGTTGCGAAATGTTGTAAAATTCGGATAATATAGCCTTGCGAAGTTTGCCGTTTTTCAGTCATTTAAAGTTCTCGGCATTTTTGTTGTGTCGCTATATTTCCACTTTAAAATAGTAATATTGAAGCATAAACTGGTCTAATTGTTTTAAAAACATGCCTAAGCCACGACAAAGTATTCAAGGTAAATGTTTTTCGTCTTTGTTTTGTATTTTTTTTTTACATTTGTAGCTACGAAATTGGCGTCCCCAATTTTAACGAAATTTGGGATACATTTTTCCCTGTTTAGTGCTTGAAATATTTGCTAAGATTGACTGGGAATACTTAGAGATTTCATCGCGTAGAATGGCGTAGTTATATTCACTTGCTCTTTGACTAAATGTTTAGGTGTATTATTGCTAAACATGCCGTTTTTGAGAATTTGGTTTGCAACTAGGTTTCAACATCCAATCACCTCCGTACGGCCAACAAGGAAGCAGCCTCTTTGAAAGCTTGAAACAAATTCTTGCGTGACAAATATCCTCAACATATCATTCTTGGAGAATTAAAATAAACATATGAGTGTATTTCTTCTCAAATTAATGGCCAGCAAACTCTTTCTAAACCATTTTGCAAAAATCTCTTTTCTGTTCTTCTTTCCTTCACAGTAAATTTGTATATCTGTGATAAAATTTCAGTTTTGTGCCACAAAACTGAAATTTTCATCAAAAATGTGACAAAAAGTTCAAAAGAATAGCTCTTCTTTCTTTCTTTTAAATATGTACAAATATTTATCCCCTTTTTCCTCTTTTTTTTGTATTCTCTTTTTTTTGTACAAATATTCTGTTCTCTTAAATCTTTCTAGCGACATCGTAACTGTTTGTACTGCTTGGATTTAAGAAATCTCGGTAAACAATCTCTTTTCATCAAGTAATATATCTGTTCTTGTGCTGGTTGGAAGGTCGTTATTGATGGATGTTCCATGTTCATTTCCACTGTATTTCTCGTTTTTGAATCTATGCTGATCTGATAAAACGTGAAAATAGTTCAATTTCTTTATACACAGTATAGAGTATAGAGTATAGATGTTAGAAGGGTCAAGATATACGACTGTTCCGATGTACGGGTAACGCCAATATCTGTTTGGCAACTTTTGCTAATCACACTTTTTCTGCTTTGTCATGATATAGCCAATAGACCTTTCCCCTTTTGAGTGAAATTTTGATCTAGACAAGTCTGGACAAAAATTTCATCACAGCTTGAAAGAGCATCACAAAATTAGTAATATTCCGAAGTTTCGTTGCGAAATGTTGTAAAATGCGGATAATATAGCCTTGCGACGTTTTCCGTTTTTCAGTCATTTTGTATTACAAATGGGAAATTGATAATCAGTTTGATCATCTGATTATCAATTTCCCGTGCGTAATGCAAAATGACTGAAAAACAGCAAACTTCGCAAGGCTATATTATCCGCATTTTTCAACATTTCGCAACGAAACGTCGGAATATTACTAATTTTGTGATGCTCTTTCAGGCTGTGATGAAATTTTTGTCCGACTTGTCTAGATCAAAATTTCACTCAAAAGGGGAAATATCTATTACTGTCCTGAGTGGTTATATTACTACCTTGAAAAACAAACAGAAACTCGACTTTTTTAAGGTAGTAATATAACCACTCAGCACAGCATTTTCACATTGGTACTATACCTACACTGGTACAGACAGGAAAGGTCTATTAGCCTCACTATTCTCACGCCGCCATTTTTAGAGGATAATCGGATTGTTATTGCTATCTAGACTGTTCTTCCTAGAGGTCCAGTAAGGATAATCTCTTATTGATCCAGTGTTACTACAGGAGGAAACCTAAACTAAACTTACTTTATTTATACTGGATAGCTCTATCAGTTGTAAACTGTTCTTCCTAGAGGTCCAGTAAGGATCATCTCTTATTGATCCAGTGTTACTACAGGAGGAAATCTAAACTAAACTAACTTTATTTACACTGGATAGCTCTATCAGTTCTAAACTGTTCTTCCTAGAGGCCCAGTAAGGATCATCTCTTATTGATCCAGTGTTATTACAGGAGGAAACCTAAACTAACTTTACTTTTACTGCATATTTCTATCAGTTCTAAAGTGCGACAATCTTGGTGAATCTTGGTGATATAAAACTTACCTAGGTATACCAGCCGCAACTTGTTTACTTGCACTCAAGTTAAACGTCCATCTGAAATTTTAACAATTAACAAAATTAAGAATGCATAAATATTTCAGATACGAACATTATGGCTGATCTGACGGGTTGAAGCAGAGAGTTGCCCATGGCAACGGTAAGTTGATTCAACTCATGTCGAATCTCAATTTCGAAATAACGTTCATTTTCCAAAATACTGTTTTATTCCAATGTGGAGTTTAGGCCAAAACTGTGTCCATTGAAACAATTTCCATTATCAAAACTTCGTATATGATTAAAACTTCATGATCCGAACATTGATCAGAAATTCATCCAGTCTTAGGACTTGATCAAAACTTCATCTAGTCCTAGGACTTGATCAGAAAGTCCTAGGACTTGATCAAAACTTCATCCAGTCCTAGGACTTGATCAAACTTCATCCAGTCTTAGCACTTGATCAAAACTTCATCCAGTCCTAGGACTTGATCAAAACTTCATCCAGTCCTAGGACTTGATCAAAACTTCATCCAGTCCTAAGACTTGATCAAAACTTCATCTAGTCCTAGGACTTGATCAAAACTTCATTGTAAAATTTCGAGTAATTCACTGGTCTATTAATTCAATGGCTGCCAAACATGCTTCTTCATGGCGATTTATCACCGAAGGTCGATTTTTAATAAATGATAAATGTCTTGTTTCCGGAGCAAAGAATGAAACTCATCTCTGTAGCTCAGTTGGTTAGAGTGATGCGGAGGCGGAAGGCCCATAGTAATTACATCTCTGCAGCTGCTCTTGCCGTTTAAAAATGTACAAAATTTACATGCGTTTTTCAATCTACAAACACCTTCAACGTTCATGTGGTATATATCGTGTATCCTTGTTGATCCTCGAATCGTGAGAACAAAATTCCTTCTATATACTTATGAATCAACCAAGTTTATAGCTGTTAACCAAATACGCAATTAAGTCCATAAGATCAATACGTTAATAATGAACAAATTAATCCCTTACAAACTTCGCCAAAATCCTGGCCTTGATCTGGACGAATTTCTCTGTACACGAGGCATAAAGTTACCAAAGTATACTGCAAAATAGTCTCGTAGTCAAAACTCCTGTTTCACAAACAAACAAAGTCTTTTCCTATCCCAAGAACACCTGTATGTTTTAAGCCTTTTAAAGTGATGCGCTTTTGCAATATTATGCATACTTGATGCATAGACACTTCAAAGAACAATTTGCATGACAAAAAAAAATACTACTTATACCCCCAACAACGAGAATGGATTTGCATGCCGCCTATTTATTGCCTCATTTCATTCGCTTATTCGTACTAAGCCCATTTTCATCAAGAAAAATTTCCAGGGACAAAAATTTTCCGAAAATATCATTGTTAATAGTTGAAAATTTTCAACTTCAAAATTTTTTCCGACGGAAAATTTGTGTCGGCCAGTCACATTTTACAAAATATACTTACTGCGGAAAATTTTCCTGAGTAGAAATGAGCCTTAATTGTGCGTTTTGGGCTAAAATATTCTGGTATAAAGATTTAAAATTACAGTTATTATTACTGCAAGACGAATCGATTACCAGGGAAACAGTTTAATTACCTAGGTTTTTCCCATATATCATTCTAGAAAGACTATAGACAGTAATGTACAAAGCTGATTGAAATATTAACACGGCTTGTATTTTATGTGGTAACAAAATTTCTGTTAGCATCATTTTAAGCCTTGCTCTTTTAATATATTTTTTCAGATGAAACATCTGATTAAGGAATTCAGCTGCATGAACGATTTTATGACTTGTAAATACATTGAGGAATGAGCCAATCATAATTCATTATTTCGGTCACATGATCATGAAGATCGAATTCGTTTTGATCAAGTCCTAGGACTGCATCAAGTTTTGATCCGCTATATTTTTCCTGAAGCCAAATAGTCAACAGCCAAATGGTTAGAAAGCTTTCAGCGCTGTCGAAAAGCTTTTTTGTAAATTTTAAGCCGTTTTCAAGAACAAGAATACGTATTCATGTTGACGTATTTGACCGCGCTCTTCGCATGCGTGAAAAGACTGGGACAGACCTTCAAGTTTGGCTTCAAATTTCCGGTTTGACGCAGCGTTCCAGTTAATTCATTTCACTGTGAAATGGGCAATTCCAGCTATACACTAAATTTTGATCTATAGGCAAGAATTTTGATCTAAAGGCAAGAATTTTGATCTGTAGGCAAGAAGAAAAAAATCCATCACCACCAGCTAGAAAGAGCATGTTATAATTAGTAAAATTGCAAAGTTTGGTTCCGAAATGTTGTAAAATGAGGAAAATAAAGCCCTACGAAATTTGCAAATTTTGTATTAATTTGTATTACGCACGGGAAAATGCACCACTTTCGGCCCAAAGTAATGCAAATTCCCGTGCGTAATACAAATTAATACAAAATTTGCAAATTTCGTAGGCGCTATATTTTCCTCATTGTACAACATTTCGCAACCAAACTTTGCAATTTTGCTAATTTTAACATGTTCTTTCAGTCTTTCTAGCTGTGGTGATGGCTTTTGTTCTTCTTGCCTAGATCAAAATTTAGTCTACAGCTGGAATATAGCCCATTGTTTACGTACTTGAATAGCGCGGCTCGTAAAACGGGTCAAGGAAAAATTGATGGGGAAAAAACTTGTTCGTCGAACACGCGAGCGAGAAAACTCGGCAAGAAACTTGTCAAGAAAACGTGCTCGTCTCCAATGGACCATTTGCAAAAATTTCATCACAGCTTGAAAGAGCATCACAAAATTAGTAATATTCCAAAGTTTCGTTGCGAAATGTTGTAAAATGCGGATAATATAGCCTTGCCATTTTACAACATTTCGCAACGAAACTTTGGAATATTACTAATTTTGTGATGCTCTTTTAAGCTGTGATGAAATTTTTGTCTAGATCAAAATTTAGTCTATAATGCAAATGGTTCATTGGCTTTTGCCTATTAGACCCATTTAATACAATGCTTATCAAACAAAGGCTCAATTGCCAAACAATGGAAGCAAATCACAATTGCTGCCCTATCCACTCAATATCGAAAACAATTAATCCTTTTTATAAAAAAATGAAATTGAATATTGACAGAGATATTGCTTCCCCCTGTGCGAATTAATTTCGCTTTCCTAATTAATTTCCCAGACGTATTATTATATTTTTCAGAATTTTTCACAAACATTTTTTTATATTTGATATAGCTAACTCTGAAAATTACACTGATTGAATGAATGAAGTTAGCACTCCAGATAAACATACAGCTCATCGGGATGACCTTGCTATGACGTCACCAGATCCACAATTAAAGTCTGCTTTATACTAGTATCAAAGTTTCTGTGTTCACAGTAGGAATTTTGCTTGGGTATATTCTAAGTTTTGAAGGATTTGTAAGAAATACTTGAGGAAAGTGACTCGGTGTCAAACGTTAAGTCAGTTTCCTGTAAGTTTTCCCGTTAAGTCAAAATTTCAACTGTAATCACAGAAAATTTTATAGTGTAAAAGCCTTAATACTGCCAAAAATGAAAATGGCGCCCAACTCATTGTTTCCAAAATTTTGAGCACGTTTAGTAGTAGGCTTATTCTGTTTTTTAGATGAAAGTCTCAGTCCAATCCCCTTTGGTTGGATAGCGCAGTGAGTAGAATGGCAATCTGGAGAAGTATTGAGGCTGCTGATATTAAAATAAAAGTCTCAATAGACTCATAAATATTTAAATATATTTGGCTGGGAGACGTACTATTTTAATAGGAGTCGCTACGCAAACGACGCGAAACATGGCTAGGAAACAATGTTTCCTGATTTGTCCACCTTCGGAAAACATGGCTAGCTATATGAAACAATGTTTTGAGCCCGTTCAAATTTTGATGACGGACCTGTTAAACTTTTCGCCATATACGCGCGCGGTAATAACACTGTCATCAACTCTCATGTTCTCGTTTGACCGGGGCGTGAGAGTTGAGAAAACTCACATGCAAACTGTCGCTTCTCAACTCTCATGTAACTCTTGTTCTCGTTTGACCAGGGCATGAGAGTTGAGAAAACTTTCATGCAAACTGTCGCTTCTCAACACTCATCAACTCTCATGCAACTCTTGTTCTCGTTTGACCGGGGCATGAGAGTTGAGAAAACTTTCATGCAAACTCTCGCTTCTCAACTCTCATCAACTCTCATGCAACTCTTGTTCTCGTTTGACCAGGGCATGAGAGTTGCGAAAACTTTCATGCAAATTCTCGCTTCTCAACTCTCATCAACTCTCGCGCAACTCTTGTTCTCGTTTGACCAGCGCATGAGAGTTGAGAAAACTTTCATGCAAACTCTCGCTTCTCAACTCTCATCTGATCAACTCTCATGCAACTCTTGTTCTCGTTTGACCCGGACCGGGGCATGAGAGTTGAGAAAACTCACATGCGAACTCTCGCTTCTCAACTCTCATGCATAATCGTTTGAGCATGGCTATAGAAAGCGTGGAAATGTGGTCCATTATTCTACGATCTCATTCCAGAAAAAATACGACCTTATACATAATATACAAAGCAAATAGACGTCTTTGATTTTCGTTTTCGCTCCGTGTTGTAAAATATATCTAATCGAAAGATTCCGTTAAAATCGAAAGCTATACAAGCAAACAGAAACAAAATTGCTTCTTTTTTATTACTTTAGATTTCGTTTTAGATAATTATGATTTTCTGGTTTTTTTAGAATAATGCACTTGACATGGGGCAGGAAATCTCAAGACTTAAATATTTCAAGTCGGACATGTATTCCTTTTCAAAGTTATCAATATTTAACGCATTCGGTCTTATACGTAAATTGGATTTGGTCAACCGCGTGATAAGTCTGAAAAAAAAACCCCCGACACTACAAACACTATTCTAAATTTTTATAACTTAAAAAGGTTTGTAACTTAAGATTCTAACCCTGAACGTTTGTATTGATAGACACAATTAAAATCCATCAATTATATCGCGATGTATTTTGCGAATAACTTATAAAAACTGCGTTAAAGTACTTGAATGAATGAATGTTCAACAGCTGAATTTGTTTCCACAAGAATAGATTGTAAAATAGGTCTGGAGAGCTGCCACGAAACTCGGCAACTTATGACGTTTTCTAAATTTTAGATTAAGAAAATAATGTTGTGCCGAAATGGAACTTAATTTGGAACAGCACTCAAATTTAAACGATTTTTCAAGTTTTGCACGGACCGTCTGAATTTTCGAGCACTGCAGATGCACGATCGGACGAATTCTCGTGTGAATAAATGGAACGGCCGAATCGTTGACTACGTGTGCCTCGCATGCATTCGCGGCCTGGCGTTGAAATAGCCTGAAGCGGCTTTCGTGTATAAACTAGATGTAATCGCCCACATCCAAAATGAAGATACGATCTTCCTTGAGGAAAAGAACATGATACAAAGGTATATAGTTGCAGTGTACATTTGGGCGTCAGTCTCATGCAGACCACTTTCCCAAGAGGCGTGTGGAATGACACGGAAATTCGTACGATATCGTACAAATTGAACGCGATCCATGTCATGCGTCCGTTTGCGCGCGAAGAACGTCTCACAGAGCGACTATATACAGCATCTTGAATATAAGCTGAACGCAGTCATCAACAGAATATACCAGAGGTATTTTTTGTAAAAATGCTTCAAAAAGCTGAACCGCAATATACTCTTCACTGCTGTCAAAAACATTTAATCTTTAACAATCTATTCCCAATGTATTCTATACCACAGTCTGATATAAACTGCTCCGAAAACACAAAAATCATGCATACATATAAACAAGAATTGATCTAACCGTTGATTCTAAGGCCATATCTTCAATCCTCTTTCCCAAACTAAGCTAACGTGTCGTCCCTTTGATTTTTTTACAAAATCACGACGGCTTTGTGTATATGGACCCAACAACTGAAGTGAGACTGTCTGTGTTGAGATTGTCAATTCAAAATGCTTATTACGTCCGTTCCACATGACGGCTCGTTAAAATGAGATTAATATGAATGTTGCCATGGCAACAGTTTCGACATCTGTCGTGTCATCCATATGTAATTGTCTGCGACTATTGTACACGTACTACTCGTGTATCTTAGAGGGCAACTGGTCGCTATATGCAACTGGACTACTAGCCATATGGAATTTATTGTCCGTGATATTTACTGTCCTACAGGGCCTTTTTTAACTATATAACTGGAGAAGGGGGGAGGTAAAGCCCTTCCAGCCCCCATGGTGCCGCCGCCCAGTCAAAGTCCCTTTTCTTTATTAAAATATAAGTAAAACATGGGAAGAAAAATAGAATTTAGAAGGGAGTTTGATATTCTAGTAACTGAAATTTGCTTTGTGAATCTTATCACCTGTCCTTTATCTTCGAACGATTCAATGTCTTTTTAAAAATGCTAAACATTGTGTTGTAAATACCTTAGATTTTATAAGTGGATAGCATGCCCCAGACCGAGCCCCAGACAGACCCTATAGATTTGAGTTGTTGAGAGGCCAATGGCACGAAATGCAGTCCTGGGGGTGGAAAAGTACAAATATTTTCTTAAGTTTAAACAGAGCCGCCGAGAGAATTCGCGGGGCCCGGGGCAAATCTTCTCTGGGGCCCTATGACATCATTATTTTTAAGCTAGACCCAACTAGACCTTAGCTAGACTGCATGTGGAGCTACTGTAAGGGGCCCCTCAATTTCAAAAATGCTCTGACCAATTTAAAGAACCTACTCAATTTTAGGCTCTCGAGTTGGGGAGGCCCGGGGCAATTTGCCCCCCCCCCCTCCACTCGGCGGCCCTGTGGACAATGCCCCTTGTGTTATCTCCTTGTATTTTGTCAGGTAGTTGCATGGCCTATCAAACCAAAGCTTTCTTTGTTGAAAATACCAATTGGACATGAGATAATTAGGAAATTAGCACGCCAGAAATGATGTGATATCATATTTTGATCACTGAAATCTTAATCTTAATTTAATATCTATTATCTATCAGTGATTGATATTTGACAACATTTTGACGATCGGTCACGACGATCAGTCTAGAGCTGTTCGTGGCAAAGCAGAATTTTTCTTGGCAATTTTCCTCTTAAAAAAAAAGAATGCGCTTAAAGCAATTGGCAATTCCAGCTATAGGACTAAATTTTGATCTAGGCAAGAAGAACAAAATCCATCACCACAGCTAGAAAGAGCATGTTAAAATTAGTAAAATTGCAAAGTTTGGTTGCGAATTGTTGTAAAATGAGGAAAATATAGCGCTGCGAAATTTGAAAATTTTGTATTAATTTGTACTACGCACGAGAATTTGCACCACTTTCGGCCCAAATGTGTTGCAATTTCCCGCGCGTAATACAAATTAATACAAAATTTGCAAATTTCGCAGCGCTATATTTTCTACATTTTACAACATTTCGCGGCCAAACTTTGCAAGTTTAACATGCTGTTTCTAGCTGTGGTGATGGGTTTTGTTCTTTTTGCCTAGATCAAAATTTAGTCTATACATGAATCATGAATGTTGATCCATCAACAAATGAGAATTACTTTCATTAATTCTTATCTAGTTTCCAGCGTTATCTGAAGTAACACCTACACGATGTTACGTCTATTTCCGTGTCATTTTGATTAATATCTAGTACAGCAGCATTTATATGTACAGAACAAAAATTATCTTTGATTTCTATTTTTATGCACAGTACGTCATAGATTGCCTACATTCTGAGAATAATTTATTGGGATATCAGTACATAATTCAGGCACACACCACGACAGCTTATTGTAGAATATATGACCTACACTGGACCACCACGTTTGAGATATCTTTTCAAGTAGTTCAGAATATCTTTTCAAGTAGTTCATTGTAGAATACTATAATTGAATTTGAATTTGAAGTTGAATTTGAAGTTGAATTTGAAGTTCAATTTGAAGTTGATATACCTACACTGGACCACCATGTTTGAGAAATATTTTCAGGTATAGTTCAGACACAAACCACGGCAGTTTATTATAGAATTCTGTCTACACCGGACCAACATGTTTGAGAAATATCGTCAGGTAGTTCAGACACATTTGGAGATTGATTTACTGAATCGTAAATTAATCAAATAAAACTCATTCTTTCAATATTGCACAACTTCAGACACCACCAGGGTGGGGCCACGAGAGGGGGGGGGGCAGCGCCTTTCCAATAATTTCTAAAAACCTTCGAATGATAACTAAACAACTGTGTACCAAAGTTGCTGTAACAGTAATTTTCCAATCATTTAAGATGACAAACGGGAAATTGATAATCAGATGATCAAACTGATTATCAATTTCCCATTTGTAATACAAAATGACTGAAAAACGGCAAACTTCGCAAGGCTATATTATCCTCATTTTACAACATTTCGCAACGAAACTTCGGAATATTACTAATTT